GGGGGGGGGCGGTGGTGTGAGTCCAGGCCTGGGGATGGCTGACAGGGGACACAAATACTTGAGAGAAGGATGTGATCACTTCCAAGGCCTGACTGAGACAGGTGATTGGCTTAAGGTCACTCAGCTACTTCCCGGTGGAGCCAGGACTCCCCTCAGATCAGAAAACAGCCCTTTGCAGGCAGATACTGGGAAATGTTTGGTAGTGGCATCAGCCCAGTCTGGACACAGCTCTTTCTCTCTTCCCCCTTCCTGTGATCTTGGGCATGTAGCTTGACTCTGCGTTTGCTGTACTTCTCCCCCAAACCATGGGATGAGAACAGCTCTCAGGTTATGGGTTCTGTGTTGAGCCTGCTAGTAAAGTGCCTGGTACATAGCAGGTTGTTCCTGGTCAAGGCTAAATGCCTGACTTCATCCTTCCTGGTGGTGGGACCTGGGCCAGATGCTTGAAGCCTTGAGCCTCAGTTTCCTCCTCTGTGAGATGATGGTCTGTCCACACTGGTCTTGCCAGGTCACCTGAAGTCTTGGACTTGGAGTGCAATGCCTCTCAGTGAAACTTTGTCCCTGCCTCCTGGGCATGCAGTGCTACACACGAGGACTTGGGGACAGACAGGCTCCAGGCCAGGGCTCCTGGGATGCTCAGAGGCCCCTGGTACCTGGAAGGTTCCTGGGGGGATGCCTTGGGTATCTGAGAAGCCCTGCAGGGTCCTGGGCAGGACAGACCACAGGGCTCAGTCAGAAGCAAAGTGCTCGGCATCTTCCCAGAAAGCTGTGGCAGGAGCTTGGTGCGATGTGATTTGCCCAGAAGCGTGTCGCAAACTGCTTTAATGGAGGCTTGGGCAGGGAAAACTCTATCTCCCTCTGGCCATTCCAACAGCAGCCATGCCACTACCAGCAGCCTCCTGCCCCTCTCTGAGCCTCCATTTCTCGTCTGTTACACAGAGATGATGATGGCAGTGTGCACCTTGCTGCAGAAAGTGGGCCTTCTTCCTTTCCACATGACTTTATGGTGCACCTGTGGTGTGATGGAGACACTGCAGTGACCAGAGCAGTCATGCCTCCATGGAGCTTGATTATAGTGAGCCCACAAAACGGTGCGCTTCGAGGGATTAGCACATAGTAAGACTTGCTGTTTTTCTCATAGAGCCACCTAACTGGTGTGAATTCACCATTGATACTCAAGAGTGATGCTAGCTTAGATAGAGCAGGTGAGCTCCTGCACCCCCGCCCATGACCTTTCCTTCTGTGTAGACTGCAGCATCCAGGGCTGACCATGAGTAAGAGGCTCCCATCTCTTTCCAGGCTCAAGGATAACTATTTCCAGCCCTAAAGCACCACCTCCAGCCAGAAAGAACTCAGCCCCCACCTTGGAGAAACTCGATTCTGCTGGAGACACAGGTGGGGTTGCAGCCACTGGCAGAGCTGGGGTCCTTCGGGGGGAGGGCCAGGGAGAGCCTCCCCTCCCTGTTTCAGAACTGGCCTTGAGGGGTAGGAATGAGTCAGGTGGAAAAGGCAGGGAAGGGCATTCCCCGCTGAGGGAACAGCCTTTGCAAAGGAAGGTTCAGGGAGGAGAGCTGGGGCTGGGAGTGGCTGGGCCTGGGAGACCCCTGGGGAGGCTCTCTGCTGAGGGTCTGGGCTTGGCCAGCCCTGTTTTGAAAGGCTCTCTGGCTGCTGCGGAGGAACTGGGGGAGGAAGCACGGGGAGGGGAGGCAGAGGAGGTCCTGTCAGTGTCCAGGTCTCCAGAGTCACTAGCTGACGTCCAGCCGCCATGCCAGGACTGGCCACCAGAGGGCACTGTGGGCACAAGCTGAGGGTGCCCTGCGGCATCAGGGCCGTGTGCGTGCGTGAGTGTGTAATTGCGAGTGTGCCCAGATGTGCGTGTGGATGGTGTCTGTGAACGTGTCTGAGCCTGAGTGGCCGCTCCGCGGACAGGTAGACGCTTGTGCACCCCGCTGTGCTCACGACCGTCTGCATGTGTATCTGGGACGTATGCACTTGCGAGTGGGAGGGGGCCGAGGGCGTGAGGGAACACGTGCAGGGCGCCTGCCTCTAGGCCTTTGCACACGCTGTTCCCTTCCCTGGGGTGCTCTTCCCTCCCCTCCCTCACCTCCAGAGGCTGCAGTGAGGCTCTTCTTCCTCCATCTCTAAAATCACAGCCCCGCCCCCAGACGCCGGCCTGTCCCTTCCCTCCTTTACCGGGAACACATCCCCTGGCGACTATAATTTAATTTGGGCATTTCGCTTTTGAGGTTCGCTCAAGAGTCATCTCCCAGAGGGCCGCCATCCTGGGCTCAGCCATCCTCTCTCCAGCCCCACCCCCCACCCTGAACCCACCTCCGGGCCCACATCCTGATCTGGCTACACCCCTTTCCCTGAGTCCACATGGAAGGGTGTTGGGGACTTATTTTCTGCTACAGGCACCCTGTCCAAAGACCCTTCTGGCTTTTGAGTGGTCGGGGAAACCCAGCTTCACTGCGCTGCTTAGAGGCAGAGGGAGGCCAACAGACATGGCTGCAACCAAGGAGCTTTGCGTCCAAGCCCGGCTCTCACAGGCGGTCCCCTGCTCAGCTCCAAGCCCCTGGTTCTGGCTTCTCTGCCTGATGAGCTCCTCCTGGTCTTTAAAGGCCCAGTCTCAAAGTCACCTCCTCTGAGGAGCCTTCCTGACCTCAGCCAGGTGGAGTCTGGCACCTTGTTCACATGTCTATTTATAGCAGCCCACATGGAGTTTTGTGATTCTCCGGCCGTCTGTCAGGCTCCCTGACTAAGCGTCACCTCCTGCAATGGCAGGCCTTGTCTGAGTCATAGGAGCCACGGGAGCAGGCTGGGCTGGGACAGGAGTTGCTTCTAGTGTCTGCGGCATGCTTTCCACGCTTCCTTTGTTCATTCCTCACATACTTTTTAGGCACCTACTATGTGGAACAGGGTTGTGCAACATAGCATAACATGTCCACAACCCTGGGCTGTGCAACGGGAGTGCTGCAGAGAGAGAGTTGGCAAGATTCCTGCCCAGGATGGTCTGACGGTCCAGAGTGAGAGTCATATTAAAAGCAGAGGAAATAGGAAAGGCATTGGTGGCATGAGTGCTGTGCAGAGGAATACAACTGATTTGGGTGCATGGCCAGAAGGCCTCTTAAGGTAGTTCATTTAAGAGGATACCTGCAGGGGACTTCCCCGGTGGCCCAGTGGTTAAGACTTCACCTTCCACTGCAGGGGGTCAAGTGTTCGACCCCTGGTTGGGGAGCTAAGATCCCATATGCCCCCCAGCCAAAAAACCAACAGGTAAAACAGAAGCAATATTGTAACAAATTCAATAAAGACTTTAAAAATGGTCCACATCAAAAAATCTTAAAAAAAAAAAAAAAAGAGGAGGCCTATGGGATGAAAGGGACCAGCTCCAGGAATCATGGAGGAAGGCTGGGGGAAAAAGATGTATCAGGCTGAGGGAACAGCAGAGGCGCAGGCCTCACAGTAGGACGGGTATTTGTGTGTACAAGGGGGCAGCACTGAGAACCCGCTAACAGTGCGGAGGGGGTATGGGGGGAACGTGGGAGGAGCACAAGTCCCAGGGGTTGGCAGGGGCCTGAACCCAGAAAACCCACCGGACCAGGCTTCCAGTCTGTGCTGTTGCCCATTTTGCAGGTGGGTAAGCAGCAGGTCCCAAGGTCACATGACCCGTTTGGGAACAAGTGCTCTGGGCACCCAGACACCCAGGAGTGGTGAGCCAGGGTCAGTTTCCCATAGGAAGTTCACAAACACTTGCTGGGCATCTAGTGAGTGCCAGGCCCTAAGCCAGGCACTTGTGAGCTCACATTCATGAACCCATTTCAGAGAGGTTGCCCTGTTCCTGTGGCACAGGTATGTCAGCAGGCATGGAGATGCTCAGTACCCACCTCTGAGCGGCACGGTTGGCATTTGAACTCGTAACCTGCTGAGTCCATAGCTCCTGTCTTTCTGCCCACGCCCCGGGTGCAGGAGGAAATAATGATAATAAGGAGGCCTCACCTTATCTCATCGGGCCTCCTCATTACTGTGAGGGTGGGCCCTGTGGCCACCTCATCTTACAAACGGGAAGGCTTCAAGCCTTTCTAGGAGGTGGTGGAATCTGCTTCCCTCACGTGAGGCGCCTGGCAGGTGACACACTCACGCCCACGTGAAGCGAGGGACTGACCCCGTGACCTCTGCTAAACTGTTCATTCTAGTGACCTGGTCCCAGTGCCAGATTGGTGAGTGGCTCTTGAAATCCCCTAGGCTCCACGTGGGAGCAGAAGAGAGGGCTGGTCCCTCCGGAATGAATAGTCAACAAACACCTTCTGAGTGTCTGCGGAAGCCCGGGTCCCTTCCTTCCAGCAGTGCCCGGAGGCGGGGACGCGGAAACAGGCTCCGGGGTGACATGACTTGCCCAGGTCAGCCTGGCCAGGAAGTAGTCGAAGCGGGATGTGATCTCGACCCCACCAGGGGGCGGGCGCACTTTAACGCCCGCAGAACCCACCTTTCCGTTCCCCGGGCCGCAGCTGGGCGGGCCTGGGGTACCCAGGGTTTCTGGGCACTCCAGCCTGCGCGCGCTGGGAGGACCCGGGAGTGGGCTGGGCTGGTTTCCTGACCGGCACCGGGAAGGACCCGCCCGGGCCCCGAGGGGCGGGGCCTGACGGGTTTCCCGGTGAGGGGCGGGCTTGACAGGCTGTGGGAGGAGCCGCACCCCGGGCCAATGGAAGGTGAAGCTTGAGTTTGACGGGCAGGCCCCGGCCGGCGTTTGATAGGCAGGGGCCGGGCCCGGATACTGGAGGGCCAATGGGTTCGCGGGGCGGGGCCTACGTCGGCGCCGTCCGGCCGGGGCCCGGCCGCACTGCCCAGTCTGGCCCAGCTGCCTGCCGGGGACACGTCCCTGTTGCCGCCCTGCCCGCCGCCCGGGCCGCCCGCCCGCCCGTAGCCATGAGCGCGCTCCGCCCGGGCCGAGCCCGCCGCCCCCTGGACTAGTTCTGCCGCCGCCCCGACCCGCCCGCACCATGGAGTCTCCTGCCCCGAGCCCGCCCGCCGGCGTGCCCACGTCCAAAGGTAGGAACGCCCGGGCTGCGGACCCGACTTCTGCGCGGTCTCCCGGCCGGGCCCGCACCCGGGCAGCTTCCCGGCCCGGAACCCCTCCCTGATCGGTCTCGGGCCCAGCCCGAACTGTGGCGAAGGTTTCGTTCTGATCACCCCACACCAGGTCAGAAACCTTGCTTGGACCTCCCCATTTGGGCCTTAACTGCAGCAAGGACAGGAACGAAAACGCTCCCAGTCTGAGTCCCTCAGTTGGGACCCAGGTGGGATTCACTCCCATCTTGCACCCAGCCCCTTTCCACTCCTGCGTCCCAGGGCTGTATCCTGACTGGGGTTTAACTTCCCTTCTGGGGATCTCTCTGTAAATGCCCCCCTCCCAAGTGGGTATCCTGGCTACCGTCCAGTTCAGATCTCCCCTACCTCTCCCCCAAGGCTCTCCATCCTAGTAGGCCCCCCATGGCCCCATTCCTGGCCGTCCTTGAGCCCTGTCTCAGTGAGGGGGAACCTCTTTTGGCCTCCCACCACGCCTTACTGCATGGCCTCTCTCTCCACTGGCTCCGCTCATTTGGACTTGCAGGCTTCTCTCTGCACTGGGGGAGCTCACCTCCTCTTGTGCTGGCGTCTGCAGGGTTGATTGCTACCAGGTCTGTCCCCGCTGTCTGTCTGGCAGGGCCAATTGCCAGGCGGTTGCTGCCTATGCAATGGTCTTGCTTTTGTCTTCTCCAAGCAACCGGCCTTCTTGGAAATTTTTGTGAGGTGGCGGCTGCGGCAGCAGGATTTGTCATGCAGAGGGGGAGGACGAGACTTGGAGGGTGAAAGGGGGATTTTTTTTGGCAGGAAAAGGAAAGGATGTTTTTGGCATGTCAGAGTCTCAGAGGGCTGGACTGTGTGAGAGATTAACAAACCGGATGCATCCGTAATGAATGGGCTGCCCCTGCCTCCCTAACCTGCTGCTTCACACCAGCAGCAGGAGTGTCCTTATCACACCTACCTTCCGTGGACTTCAGGCGTAGGATGTGAGATAGTGAATACTAAAGAGTTCTAGGCGATTGTGGGTGATGACGATGAGAAGCGCTTAGCAGACAGTCTGACTGTGTTACTGTTACCATTTTTCCTGCTGGAAAGGCCCCAGCCATGTGGGATCCAGGCCTTGCCTCTCCTGCAGAGTGAGGAGGAGAAAGGTAACAGCTACCCCTTAGGGGCCCTAATCAGGGGTTACCCCTGTCTCTCTCTCTCTAGATGGGGCCAGGTGGCAGCTGGCGGGCTTGTGGGGTCCCAGGGAGGGTGTGGGTCCTCCTTCCCTTCTGCTGCTCCTGGTGGCTGCAGTGGCTGTGGACCCAAGTCCAGCCGGCCAGGTGGAGGGTAATTAAGTCTTAACCTAAGTGGGAGGCTGGGTCCCTGACTGCTGCCTAGCTACTGTGAGTACCCAGCAGGGACTTGCACCGCCCCGACCTCGTGGAGCTTGGGAACCGGGAAATCAGACATTTCTCTTCCCCAGCTCCAGGTGTAGGCCTAGCCTGGCCAGGCTGTGAGACCTCAGGCAGGTCCATCAACCTCTCTGGGCCACAGGGTTTTCATAGGCAGAAAGAAAAGATTGGAAGCAGTGTTTGTTTTTGAAGTCCCTTTCTGCTGTTCTAGGCAGGGGATGCCTCATTAAAATAAAAATTAAAGTTGCAGGGTTGGGAAGGGAGAGGAGTCAGGCGTATGAAGAAATAAAGCACTTTGGGGAAACACTCATATGTTGTGTGACTTGAGCCCTGGTATTGTCTTCTCTGAGCCTCTCAGCAAAGAGAGGGCCAGGATGAGTTTCCAGTTTGTGGGTTTGGATAACAGATGATGTTGAGTAGGTTGGATGGAGGGTCAGGGGTCTACTCAAGGCCCAGGGACACCCTTAACCTCTTTGGGGTTTGTGGCAACACGTGGCAGGGAAGCCACAATGCCCTGCCCCCCGCCCCCCCGGAAAATCCCAAACTTTTCCCATGTGCCATGCATTCACCCATTTATGGTTCACAGCCTCATTCACAGACAAGGAAGCTAAGGCTCAGAGGTGTTCAGCGCCTTGCCTGAGGTCACACAGCTGTGACAGATGGAGGTGGGGTTCTAGTACTCAGTGCCCAGTGCTCCCCTGTGTCCCATTTCTGTGCTGGGTGCTTGGGCTGAGCTGGTGGGACACTTCCCTTGCCCCCATCACACCTCTGTTCGGAAGTATCTCCTTGAGCCCGTGCCTGACCTGGAGGATGGCCTGAGCCAGAGATGGTGCCTTATGTGTGCACAACCCTTTACAGCTGGCACACTTTATGCTCACTGCAGTGAGGCCCATTTGACAGGTGGCAAAACTGAGGTCAGACAGGAGGAGTGGCTCGACCTAGCCCTTCCATAGTGATGTCCTCCTTCACGCCTTCTTGAGGAATTTGGACCAAGCAGGGTGTGGTTGGCACCTGACCCTAGGGAGCTTTACCTCTGAGCTTCCTGCCTTGCAGGGGTGCCCTGCCCTGCCTTCCCTGCCACTGGCCTGGGGAGTTTCCAAGAGTGCATGAGGCCCCAGGCCCCATAGCCCACAGGCCATCTCTGCCTGGGGTCAGAGGTTGAGAGCAGCCAGGGTCAGAGGGCAGGGGCACATTTGGATAGCACAGTCTGGGTCTGCTGCCTCCAGCCACATTTGTCCTTGGGGTGCCCCAGCTGCACTGTGAGTGCCGCCCCATGGGCACTTCCTGGTTGATCCTCCTGTGCCTCCTGCTGGCCCCTGGGCACACTGAGGCTGCAGGCGCACGGTGTCCTGGCCCTTCCTGCCATGTGGCTGGCCTCCCCTACCCGTCCTGTGCTTGGATCTTGGAAAGATTGGAAGGTGGCATCTTGGGGACTTCCCCCACCTCTGGCATGACGCACAGGAAACTGTCTATCAGCCAGCCTGTGGCTTAGGGCCTGAAGGGAGCAAAGTTCTCAGTCGCTTGTGTGGGGAGAGGGCCGGGGCAGCGGGAAGCTTCCGGCGGGTGAGTCAGCGGGCACTGGGTACTGACTCACTCTTGGGGCATGCCAGCCTGCCGGCTGCAGCTTAAAGGGCCAACGCCTGGCAGCTGGTGGATGGGAGGGGGGCTGAGTCCCCACCTCATGGGCCGGCCTCTGGTCCTGGGTTGGGCGTGGAGGCGGCCCCCTCCCTGGACCTGGTACAGGATGGATCCAGACCCCTGCTCCTGGCCCCTCGCCCATCCCCCCAGGAACTTCCTCTCGCTCGTGGAGCTGGAGCAGGTGGTGGTGACTGCTTACCGCCCTCAGCCCAGGGGCTCCTCCTGCTCAGATGTGCAGCTGGGGGCTCCAGGCTGCAGAGGAGCAGAGGTGGTGCGGGATGCCCTGAACTCCCACAGAGGTGAAGACTCTGTGGTCAGATCCCAGCCCATCCCCTCTGCTGTAATGTTGGATGTCCACTGCCCGCTGTAATGCTTTCAGTCCCCTGGCATTGCCTGGCTCTCGGATGCAAGGCCTCAGGTTCTTCACCTGCAGAATGGTTATGGGAACCCTGCATGCTGGCAGCTGCAAGGATGTGTGTAGACAGCCTCATCCCCCTCGCTGAGTACCAGGACAGCAGAGACTGCCCTCTGACACTATGAGGAACCTCAGTGAGACAGGAAGTGGGGCAGAGCCTGGGCTCAGGGGTGGGTGGGCCTGTGTTCGAATTCTGAGTCGCTCCACTGCTTCCCAGCTTCCTCAAGTGCCCTCTCTGACACTTAGTCTCCTCTTCTGTAAAGTGAGAGTAACCAACCCCCCATCTCAGAGTGGTGGCAAAGGTGGGAGATAGTGTTTGTCAAACGTCATCTGTTATTTTTTTGTTGTTATGGTGGTGGCAGTTGTTCGTTGGTGGATGAACAAACAGGACGGGGACCTTGATGGTGGACTTTAAGCCCTATGACACGACTCTGGCTGCAGCTGGCACCTGCCAGGCTCTGGTCCCCACGCTGGAGCCGGGAGCTTCATGGCCTCTTGGGCCTTCCTGGGGAGGGCTCGTGGGGAGCAGAGAGAATGGGATGGCTGCCTCCCCCACAGTGTGGGGCATGGGGCACCAGGAGTCAGGAGAGTGGGAGACTCCTAGGCCAGCCACTCAGTGGTAGAGCCCCTTCAGGGCCAGGCAGGGCACTTGCTGTGGGTATGCAGGGTTGGGTGAGGACTGTCCTGACCGGGGAGCACCCTGGCTGGAGAGAAGGAGGCGGTGGGGGAGTGATTCTGAGAGTCCGGCTTCAAGGTCTGCCACTGAGCTGATGGGGAGCAGCGGGGAGGCAGGGCCTTGGTGACCGTGGGGAACATTGTCAGTGTCTTGGGAGGGGTCACTATTGGGCTGCAGAGGAAGAACACAGAGAGCCAGCGGGATGGGGGAGATGGTGTGGGCCTGCCCGGAGCTCAGCTCTGCACGCTGGAGCTCATCGCCTCTAGGGACTGTACCTGCCTCCGCTCGATGGTGCCTCTCAGAGGTGCCCACAGCATTGCCCACGTGAGTCAGGCTTCTTGCTCAGATACTTCTGTGGTTGCTTCCCCTGCAGTGGCTCTGGGGACCCCTGCTCCCCGAGAAAGGGTCACCAGACTCACCCTGCTGGGGACAGGTGCCTGTCACCCTCCCCCTCTCTGGGGTGTCACTGCAGGCTGAACTGGCAACCCAGGGGTTGTCCTGGCTTCTCTGGGAGGCTATGTCCAGTCACCCTTCTCCCCCTGGCGCCCCTCCAGGCAACCCTGAACTGTCCTGCCGCCATGTGGGGGCTTGGCCTACAGCCTCTGCTGACGCCTCCCAGCAGGTGGGCATCCATTCCTTTCACGTGTTTTAATTGCACGTATATCGCAGGCACCAGAAGGATATATAGAATGTGCCTCTGCATTTTAAGGAATAAAGAAAAGGGAATCCTGTACTCCTGACATCCAGCTAAAAAATATCTCACATTTCTGTGCCCCTGAAGCCCTTCAGTGTTACCTCTTCCTGACAACTGTCCTGACTTTTGTGCTCATTTCTGTACTGTTGTTTTAAATCGAGCCCTAGGTACATGTGGTGTATTTAAGTTCACTGACCTGCAGGAGTCCTGGGCCAGCATCAACGCTGTGGTCTGTGGGGCCAGCGCTGGTGTGTGGTGGGGGTGGGGAGAGGCTGGAACTGTCCAGCAGTGAGGAACTGCACCACGGGGGTGATACTGGGGCCTCCGTTGAGGAGTCAGCATGTTAACATTGTGGAAGCACTGAGCGTGTCTCAGCGTCTGCAGCTGTTATTACTTCAAGTGAATCTCAAGTTCCCAGTGGTGCAGTGTTCCACCTGGGCAGCTGTACCACCAGCCCTGACTCCCATTTACTGCATCATTGTGTAACTTGCAGGGTTTAAGATTTTCACAAGCGAACGGTGTAAGGGGACAAGTGAAGGGCCTCAGGTGTCAGCAGGAGTTTGGGTGCCATCAGGGAGTGAAAAGGGACACACTTCGAGCCCGGTGTCTGGGGGCCAGCAGCAGACGCTCAGTCCTGGCCAAAGGCCCTGAGCCAGGCGGCCCTGGGCCCACAGCTGAGCATGTGCCCTGCCGGCACAGCCCGCAGCCCCAGAGCCGGGTCTCCACTCGCTCCACACCCGCCTTGGCTCTTGTGCAACCCTGTCGCCAAAAGCAAGGCTGTCTCTGCGACAGGGTCAGATCCCACCTTCGTGCCTTATAGGCTGGGTGGCCCTGGGTGAGTCCCTCCCATCTCTCTGAGCCTCAGTGTCCTCATTCATACAGGGGGTGAAAGGAGCACCTGCCTGTCGAGTTGTCAGGCAGAGTGCTTAGAGCAATGCCCAGCTTGCATGGAGCTATGTCCCCACCTCTCTACCTCCAGCCCAGGCCTGCTAAGGACCTGATTGGGCACCCGGAGCCTGCCCCTAGCACGGGGGTGTGCCAACTGCCCAGCCATGATCTCAGTGTGGAGTGATTTCATCCTGTTTTACAGACAAGGCAACATGGCTGATTGTCAGGGGTCGGGGCCTCACTCCAACACCCTCTTGCCCATGACAGCAGCAGCCTGCCACTCACACGCAGGCCTTTCCTGTCTCCTCTAGGTGCCATGATGCCCCTGGAGGAGGAGCTCTTCGCTTCACCTCACTTAGGGAAACCAGGGCTCTCCACTCCAAGGAGCCTCCATGGCCAGGCCTGCACCTGCCATGGCGCCCCCAGTGCTGAGCCCACAGGGAGCACCAGGCTGGGCCGGGCCGCTCAGCCCAGCAGCCCTGCCCCTGCCCCTCCTCCCCCAACACAGTGGCGAGGTGGCCACTTGGCCACACGCTGGCTCCCTAAGCCCTGGGACCCCGCCTCCCTTGGGCCCCCACCTCCTGAGGCCCTTCTCACCTGCAGAGTCCATGGGAGGGCACCAAGCCATCCAACTCACAGCCTCCATCCCCTCAGCGCTGAGTAGGCAGGCCCTGCGGCCAGGTCTGAAGACATTCGGCAACTTGGGGTTCTGCTGGCATCGGCGGGGTAGAGGTGCCACCTCAGAAGCCAGGACGCTCCAGCCCAGGACGCCCAGTCTGGGGAGAGAGGCCCACAGATGAAGGGGGCCTGGGGGCCTTCTGAGGAGAGGCTGCAGGTGTCTGCCCACCCGTCCCAGGCAGATGCTGGACCCCTTCCCAGAGGTGGGTGGTTCACCCTGCTCTAAGTGCAGCTGGGCCTTGTCTCCCCAGGGGCACTGATGCTCCTGTCATCACTGGACAGCAGTGCCGGCCCCCCACTCCTGGGCCCAAGCTCCTGGGTCCGTCTGGGTTCACAGATGAGATGCTGAGGCTGTAGAGCAGGGTGTGCTGGAGGCTTGATCCAAACCCGGTCCAGAGGTGGCTTCAGGAGGGTGTGCAGTCTGTGGCAAGGGGTGCAGGCCTTGGGCGGGAGACTGGAGTACGCACTGGGCCGCAGGAGAGGCGTGTGGTCACTGTTTCTGCTCTGGGTGGTCTAGTTCCAGGGCTGCCCAGTGCTTGCGATGCCCATTCTTCTTCAGCATCAACTGCAGGCTGGCCACCGGGTCACATACCCAGTTGGCTGAAAGGCGGGGACACTACTGCTTGGAGAGGTGACCCCTCGTCGGTCCCCAGGAGGTGTGGGGTGAGGAGGCGTTGTCATGGGTCTCAGGCCCATCCAGCACCCTGGGGAGGGGAGTGGGCTTCCTGGGGCGCTTGGTGTTGGCAAACTTCAAACAGCAAAGGCACAAACTATTCAGGTGTGGAAAGAGTGGGCCTGGCCAGAGCTGGCCCTGCCTGTGCCTCAGGCGTCCTGTCCAGGGGCCTGGGTCTGCTCCCGGGAAGCCTGGACCCGCTGGTCCCCTCTCACCTCATGCCCTCTTAGCTGGAGCTGGGGACGGGGCTCCTCCCGGATGGGGAATCTGAGGCCCAGAGGAGTGAAGGCTGCCTGGGGCCGTGGGCAGGGGTGAGATGAGGCCTTGGGTCCAGCTTCAGGCCTGAGTCCACCCTGCCTTGACCCCTGTAGGCCTACTGGGCTTTCATCCCCCGTTAGCCCCCCACGCCCCCACCCCCTGCCAGCCGGGAGTGAGCTGGGGTGAAGTGCTAATGGCGTCGGTGTGACTGTGGGTCCACCTGAAAGTGTCCTCACGCATCTCTACCCGGGCCTGCACACAGGGTGTCTGTACATGGGGCTCCTGCACACGCGGGGCCTGCACATAGGGGGCCTGTTCACAAGTGCCTGCACACATGGGACCTGCACACGGGGCCTGCACACATGGGGCCTGCACACACAGGGCCTGCACACGGGGCTCCTGCACACAAGGGGCCTGGTTACAGGACGCCTGCATACAGGGAGCCTGCACATGGGGCGCCTTGCACACAGGGGGCCTGCACACAGGGGGCCTGCTCACAGGGGGCCTGCACACAGGGGGCCTGGTTACGGGATGCCTGCATACAGGGAGCCTGCACATGGGGCGCCTTGCACACAGGGGGCCTGCACACGGGGGGCCTGCTCACAGGGCGCCTGCACACACGGGGCCTGCTCATAGGGGGCCTGCACACATGGGGCCTGCTCACAGGGGGCCTGCTCATAGGGGGCCTGCACACACAGGGCCTGCTCACAGGGGGCCTGCTCACAGGGCACCTGCACACACAGGGCCTGCACACAGGGGGCCTGCACACATGGGGCCTGCACACACGGGGCCTGCTCATAGGGGGCCTGCACACACAGGGCCTGCTCACAGGGGGCCTGCTCACAGGGCACCTGCACACACAGGGCCTGCTCACAGGGGGCCTGCACACATGGGGCCTGCACACACGGGGCCTGCTCATAGGGGGCCTGCACACACAGGGCCTGCTCACAGGGGGCCTGCTCACAGGGCACCTGCACACACAGGGCCTGCACACAGGTCCTGGCCCACGGGCTTGGCTGTGGGTGATGCCTGTCAGACAAAGCCCCACTTGCTGGGTGGCTTCAATACTGGATTTCCTGTCTGGTGGCTGGAGCCCGTCCAGGTGTCACAGGGCTTGGTCCTGCTGCGGCTGCAGATGATCGTCTTCCTCCCTGATGCATGTCTTGTCTCTGTGTCCAAGCTTCTCCTTTTTAAGGAGCCTGTTGTGTTGGATCAGGGCTCCACTTTGTGACCTCACTGTGACTTGGTCATTTCTGTAAATCTCAAGTAGGATCATGCTCAGAGGTACTGGGTGTTGGGACTTCAGCTTTCACTCTTTAGGCCTGGAAGTACAGGGGCCTCATGGGGGCCGGGGAGCAGGTGCATCTTCCTTGGGGGTGCTGCCTTTTCTCAGACGACCGTCGAGTGACTGTTTGAGGATGACTGGCAGGGCTTAGACCCTCTAGCCTGGGCTGGACATGTCCTCCAGGTGCCTGGAGGCCTTGGGGTCCCATCCCAGCACTGACCACACTGGCCTTTGGCGTCTGTGTCTGTGCTGGGTCCTTGGGGCCTGTCCCTCTCTGTCCCTGGGGAGGTTGGTTGACCAGTGATTGACCGCATGCTCCCTTCTTTCCCTCTTAGGAAAGTCCAGGAGGAAAAAGGATTTACGAATCTCCTGTACGTCCAAGCCGCCGGCGCCCAGCCCCACGTGAGTTGGCCTCAGTTCCTCTGGTGCTGCCTGCAGGGGCCAGCGTGGGGGCCAGGCTGCCTGTGTGGGCGGCATCTCCTCTAAGCAGCTGTGGGTGCCATGTGCCTTGCACGTCCTCCTGGAGCCCTCCTCGCCCATCTGAGGGCGTGTCCATGTGACAGGCCATGTGCTGCCCCGCAGATGCTCGGTGACTGTGCGGGGGGCGGGGACCCCCTTGAGAGGGCAGAGCTCTCTGGGGCTCACGCCTTCGCTCTCCCCTCAGGCTCCCCCGGAACCTGGACTCCCGGGCTTTCATCACCATTGGAGACAGGGTAGGTGTCAACAGACCCTGGGAGGTGTCTGTGGGTGGAGACAGAGCTGCGCTGTGGAGGGGGGCTGGCTCCCTGCTGCTGACCAGGTGGCCCATCTGGTGGCTACCTCCTGGGCCCTGGGGAGCTAGAGTCACGGTGCTGAGTGTGCAGATCCCTGGCTCTGCCCAAAGGGCCTGCATTTCACTGGCACCTCCCGACGCCAGTGGTTCCCTTGGGAAGCAGGCTGGGAGGCCGTGTGCTGCCCACACGACATGCTGAGGGGTCTTGTTCATCCGCCTGCTTGCTTCCTCTGGCAGCAGGTCAAGAGGGAGGGTGAGCAACCAGGGCCCCACTGCTCCCTGGGAGGCAAGGCCTTTCTTTTGTCCTGTCTGTGTCCCCAGAGCCTGAAACAGGGACTTACACACTGTAGGTGATGAATGAGTGAGTCTGGCCACCTGAGAGGGTGGGGCGAGAGGAAAAGGGCATCTCTCTAGGGCCCAGCACCACTGGGAGCGTTTCCCAGGCTGATGTGCTGACACCCTGTAGCAGCCTTTGTATGTAGGTGCTGCGCCTGTTTTAGAGAAGGTGAGGGGATGCTCAGAGAGGTTACGTGACTTACCCCAGGACACACAGCAGAAGTGGCTGGTGCAAGACTTGAGCACAGGTCTGACTGGCTGGTGATTCTCTTTTTCTGCTGCCCCAGCATCTCCACTGGTGCCTGACTTGGCTCCCCCGAACCCTCTCTCCTTTCTGTCCCCTAAGAACTTTGAGGTGGAGGCAGATGACCTGGTGACCATTTCAGAGCTGGGCCGAGGTGCCTATGGGGTGGTCGAGAAGGTGCGGCATGCCCAGAGTGGCACCATCATGGCTGTGAAGGTGAGCAGTGTCCCCGACCCAGGGTTGTCAGAACGGGGGGCACCTGGGGCTGCACCCCTGCCGCCCGGGCTCTGACCGCAGCCCCTCCCCCTGCAGCGCATCCGGGCCACTGTGAACTCTCAGGAGCAGAAGCGCCTGCTCATGGACCTGGATGTCAACATGCGCACGGTGGACTGCTTCTACACCGTCACCTTCTACGGGGCCCTCTTTAGAGAGGTGAGGAGACACAGCCAGCTTCCCCCTGGCTGAGTCAGCTGGCAGGAAGCCCAGGAGCTTGGGGTTACCCCAGGGAATGCTGCACCCAGCCTTCTCAGGAGGCTGTCCTGGATGGGGGTGGGGGTGGGGGACAGTATGTTGCCAGTGAAGGGACCCTCCGGCCAGGGTCAGAGCTGGGATGATCCATGGAAATAGGAGTCTGGTTGGGGAGAGCCGAGGTGACAGCAGGGGGAGGCTGCCATGTGGACCCAGCAGTGCCAGAGAGCCTTGTCGGGGAGGGACTGGGAGGTCAGAGAACCCCTGAGAGCTGAGGTGTGAAGGTGTGTCAGGGGCTGGCCGGCTCCAGGGAGATGGGCATGGGAGGATGCCGGGCTAGGTAGCCCTGGGCGGATGTGGCTGAGCTGTGGCTGTCCACCTGCAGGGAGATGTGTGGATCTGCATGGAGCTCATGGACACATCCCTGGACAAGTTCTATCGGAAGGTGCTAGACAAGGGCATGACGATCCCAGAAGACATTCTCGGGGAGATCGCTGTGTCTGTAAGTGGGGTTGGGGGGGTCCCAATGGTAGTGTCTTGGGCAGAGCTGGGCCCCCCATGTGGCCTCCAGCTGTGGCCCTGCAGCTGGGCAGCTGCCTTTGGAAGCCCCAAGTGCCCCCACCCTGGACCGGAGCCTTCCTGCTCAGGAGACCCTGGGGTCCTGGAGCCACACAGATTTAGCAGAGCCAGGATCTCTGGGCCTTCCTGTGCATCTCCTGAGTTTGGAGGCCACAGAAGAGGACTTAGTGTTCACAGCTTCCTTATCCTGAAGATGCTCGGAGGCAGCTCACAGAGGCACGCAGTCAGGGGAGAAAACCATGGGTCTGTCTCTTGAGCTTGCATGTCCTAGGGCAGGTGGCTCCCTGGGTGTGAGCACCCAGCAGCCAAAGCAGAAGGAGAGTGGGGACCTGTGTACCAGGTCCTTATCCCTGACCGTAGCTGCGAACACATAAACATACTCCCCGGGGTGTTGAGTCAGAATCTTCGGGGTGATTCCTGTGGGGAGTGGCTCTGGGCATGTAGCCCAGTGACTGCTGGTAGGGGAGGTGGGAGGGTGGATGCAAGGAGGCTGCAGAAGGGCCAGATTCTACCCAGGAGTCTGGTGGAGGCAGGGACAGCACTCTGGGGCTTCATAAGTCAGACTCCGCAGGGTCTTGGTCACATCAGCTGAGACCCTGGCCCTTTCAGAGCAGTGTAGGAACCGGGTATGTCAGCATCAGGGTGGCTAGGACACCACAGCAAAGGCTGGGATGTGGGCGGGAGCCTCAGGTGGTGAGGGGCTGGGTGTGACCTGGGAGAGGGCGACAGACAGCCCTGGGTGGGGAGTCTTATGATTCTGTCACTGTTGATGTGACCTGTCTCTCCCTACTTCCTATCCCAAACACCAGATCGTGAGGGCCCTGGAACACCTGCACAGCAAGCTGTCCGTGATCCACAGAGGTCAGTGCCCGGTGGGCTGGTGGGGAGGGGCCTGGCCTCACACACACGTTCCCGCAGTCCGGCTGGGCCTGTAATGCCAAGGCTCTGGGAGGTGACAGACTGTGATGTGCCTGTTGGGTCCAGGCCACTGTCCACTCCTCTCAGCCATTCCCGTCAGCCCCCAGGCCCAGTCCTAGTTTTGTTCCCTGGTGCTCAGAGCACGGACAGGGTGGACCTCCATCCTGGGAAAGCTGGCCCATCTTGTCTTGACGTGTTGTGTATGTGTTGAGGAGCATGCAGGTGGGGTGTGTACCGCTGCACGGATCTGATCGTTTACACTGGGTCACCCCCACCCTCCCGTCCCCTTCTTGCCCTGTCACGCCCCAGCCCCCGACTCCACTGATTTTCCCACGGGGGTTGGTTTTGCTTGTTCTTAGCCTCCCAATTGGGCCGATGATTCTGAGACTCAGTGAGGCTGTGTGTGTCCTGCCCGTCCCCTCCCTCTGTGTTCTGAGGGGTCTGCTTTGCCACACGGAGTTCATTAGGCTAAGCCCCTTTGACCACTCAGTGGTCCCCAGGCCACTGCTCTCAGCTGGTTGTCCTGGAACCTTTGGTCGTCTGCAGAAGTCCTCATAAAAGGCAGGAGGGATGCGCATGTATCCTGTGCATGTGCTTGCTGGATGGTCCCACTGTGCCCTCTAGCTCGCTTCCTGTCCACTCTGTGCCCGCTCCGTGTCCACCATGAGTCCTGGGGCTCAGCGTCTTCCTACAGACCTGCCTCCTGTGTCTGAGCTGCTGCCTCGTGCTTCCTGGCCAAGACCACCTACCCCTCAGGGTGGATATTGGGTGGTTTACAGTGCTCACACTGTTAGTGATGGGTTCCCTGCATCTGGGTGGACCCCAGAGCCAGAGGTTGCACTGGTAAGTGGAGGCTGAGTCCCAACTGTGAAGCTGCAAAGACATGGTCCTGGGTGAAGCCCTGGAGCCAGCTTCTCTCCCCACCTGTAGCTGGAGGCCGGGGCTCCTGACTGTGTGGCTACCAGCTCTGACCTGGGCAGTCGGGGCCAACAACCAGGAGCTGAAAAGCGTGTCCTACCTCTGGCAGATGTGAAGCCGTCCAATGTCCTTATCAACAAGGAGGGCCACGTGAAGATGTGTGACTTTGGGATCAGTGGTTACTTGGTGGATTCCGTGGCCAAGACAATGGACGCTGGCTGTAAACCCTACATGGCCGTAAGTGGTTCCCAGGCCACGCCCAGAGGAAGCAGACAGGCTCGGGCACTCGGCCGTGTCCTCCTGCTCCATCACGAATGACGCCTCCCCAGACCCTCAATTTTCTGCTAGAGGGAGGCTCCTGCTCAACCCTCTCCACCCCTTTCTGACTGACCCCACGGTGTCCATTTGGATGATAAGTTTCACCTCGGGGGTGGCTGGTGGGGCCTGCGGGAGTTGCCAGTGCCCCAAGGTGGGAGCCCCACGTGTGGCAGCTGGGTGCAAGACTTAGGCTTCCACCTGAAGATCCTGGCCCTCACTGGCCTCAGCTTCCACATTTGCTCTGGGGGAGGTAGGATGGGTGGGCACTGGCCCCTAAGTTTTGTGGGGGGCAACCAGACCCAGCTGAGGGGGCTTGGGTGAGCCTGCTCTGACTTCCCTTCCAGCCCGAGAGAATCAACCCAGAACTGAACCAGAAAGGCTACAATGTCAAGTCAGATGTCTGGAGCCTCGGCATCACCATGGTACCGCCTGGGGCGCCCTGGCTGGGTGGAGCATGGGTGGGGGCTGTGCCAGGTCTGTGAGCTTCTGGGGGCCTGCCAGATAGTCTAGCCCGGACGGAAGGGTTGGTTGGCTTCACGATGTGAGAAGAGACAGTGCATCAAAGATTACGGTGTCCTTAGTGGGGCGTCTGCAGGCGCCTCATGCCCCGCCTGGGTTAGGGCCGCGCTATGCCGCTCCCGTCTGTGATGACTTGCCTGTCGGACTTCCTCAGGGCTCGCGGTGCTCACTGAGAATGCACAGCCAGCCCCAGGCCAGCTGGCTCCTTGCGCACGAGGGCTTCACGACAGTGGCGAGGCTCAGCCCTGCCCTGCTCATTCTTGCCGCTTCTCCATGTTTACTCCCACAGATAATGCCATACCATGCATCTCTGTGCCCAGAGGCTGCTTATGTTTTCATTTTTCATTTTTTGAGCTCTTTTAGAAAAAAATTACCAGAAGAGGAATGACTCGATCCAAGGTTTGGACACTTCTCTGTTTTCGTCCTTACAAACTGGTGGCCGCTGCATCCTTCTCTGCAGCCCAGGCAGGGGCTTCACTCCTGTGTGCTGGAGTCACTGGAAACTCTAGGAAAGAAAGGAGGCTGTCTTTGTCCTATGAAAATCCAGGGTCATAGCCTTACCCGCGACACTGCGCCACCTCCAACGGTGGCCGTGTTTGTGTCTTGGCTGGAAGGGAGCCTGGAGCCTGATGAGAAGGTGCTTTCTGAGCACAACTAGTGACCTATTTGGGTGCGTCTGCTTGAGTTGAGGTCTCTCCTGTTTATTACGATGATCGCTTGTCGGGGAGGTGGACCTGAGTTTTCGTGTCAGCGGTCAAACTTGGAAGCAGAGTTTGTTGTGAGCCAGCCAGTCTTTCCTACAAATGACTCCTGCAGGCGAGGCATGGGGCACAGGGAGATCTGGGTCTAGTAGAAGCAATGAGGCTATGGCAGCCTTGTGTCCAGGGAGTCAGGAGAAACAGTGACAAGATCAGACTGGGAAGGCTTCCTGGAGGGGAAGCACTGGAGACATTCTTCCCAGGTGTTGGTGGCTGGGTGGTGGCGGCTTTGTGGAGGAGGAGGAGCTGCAGACTTCATTTCCTAGTGGAGCCTGATGGATTGCTGCACACTCCAGAAGATGAACCTCTCAGTCTCATTCCTCCTGCAAGCTCATGAGAATCATTTCACTTCCTGCTTGCCTTTTCAGTAATAACAACAGCCCACATAAATGGCAGTAGACGCTAAGGCGTTGCTGTGACATTAGGGAGGAGGGAGTGGCCTGTGGGGAACTTCAAAGCTGATCGCTTTTCTAAGGCACTTTGCTGACAGAGGCCTTAGGGGGAGCACCCCAGGCTGCCAGCCCTCTGATTTTTCCAGGTTAACTGGAACTTGGGTTTTAACGCAAAACCTTCTGAATTCAGATTGTTTGAAAACCTGATAGCCAAGCCAGTCAAAACTCAGGGTTGAATTTGTCCCATGAGCTGTAGTCTTCGCTGGCTGGGACAGAAGAACTAACTCCTCTGTCCTCTTGGCTCTCATCTTTGGACTGATGTCACCTGTCAGCCCCTTGACCAGCCTCATAGTCCAGCTCAGATGCTGGACCAGGACAGGCAGGATCTTTGAAGCCTTTGCTTCCGTGTGCAGAGTGTGGGTGCCTCTGACCTGATGCTGCTATCTCCACTGCAGATTGAGATGGCCATTCTGCGATTTCCTTATGAGTCCTGGGGTACCCCCTTCCAGCAGCTGAAGCAGGTGGTAGAGGAGCCGTCCCCCCAGCTCCCAGCTGACCGTTTCTCCCCTGAGTTTGTGGACTTCACCGCACAGTGGTGAGTCTCAGCCCTGCTCTTACCTGAGGGCCTCCCTGGGCCCAGTCAGTACCCCTCCCTGCCCTGGCTAGATCCCATCCTCCCTGGGTCCGGTCTCCTTTTTTAGCAGGTAAACCCCCAAAACAGCATCAAAATACTAGGCAGAAATAGTTAGAGTATAAGGATAATTTGACAAACTATGGTCCTGGGAGGAGTTTTTAATACAGTTCCTCTAGAAATGGACAGATCACATAGATCAAAAAATAAAATGAAGAGCATATGGAAGATTTAAATGCATAGTAAATTTGCTTTGTTGATGTTTAGAACTTTGTATCACATTAAAGAATGCCCACAAGATCCTTATAAGGATTAATTATGTTTGAGATTACAGAGGAAATAAAGGAAAAGGCAGGAGGTAAAGTCATAGGCCACATTCTCTGACTGTAATTAGATGGAACAGGAAATACATAACTATGGAAAAAAAAGCTACAAGGAAATTAAAAGTAAATTCTTCTAATATACTCTTGGGTTATAAGAGAGATCTAAGAAATAAAATTATAAAGTAATGAGAAGTAAAGACAGAGTATAACATACCAACAGCTATGTGCTGTGGCCAGAGAGACGCTCACAGCCTTTCTTCCTTTCACTGGAAAATAAGAAAGTCTGAAAACAAGTGCGCCTGGCAGACAGAGTCATTCTCTCCCAGGACCCATGGTAAGGAATTTCCACTCTCGATTAAGGACACCAAGCATATGATGGTAAATGGTAGCATTTTAGTATTGGGATCATTGGAAATCTCCTAGGTCACTATAGAGATAAGAAAGCTCACACCTCAGGAGGCAAAGAAACTTGGTCCAGTCTCTGTGGTGGGCACCATGGATCCCACTCTGCCCTTGGAAGCCCCCAGGACAGTTCAGCCCTTTCTTTCCTGAGCCTCGGGAGCATGTGTGTCTCCTTGCTGCTTGGGCAGGGCCAAGCCCAGCCTGACTTGACTGGCCTGGATGGGCTTCCCTGCCATCCTGGCCTCAGCCTACCCTGTTCTCTCCTAGCCTGAGAAAGAACCCCGCGGAACGCATGAGCTACCTGGAGCTGATGGTGAGTATGGGTGGGGCTCTCTGGGAGAGGGCTGCCTCTATGCACAGCAGTGGGCAGCTCCTCTGGCTTGCCTCTGCATTCAAAATTCTTTGAGGAACTTTGTCGCTCATTGGCTCATTCACTCGTGTACTCTGGCTCCCTCTTTCACCCTTCATGCCAGGCCTTTGGAGTGAGGCAGAGGGCCAGCAGGGCAGGTGGGCCATTTTATTTGGAGGCATCAGGAGGTTTTGCAGGGAACGTGGGCCTCGAAGGATGAATGGGGATCTCCTTGCCGATGGAGAGGGCACTCCATGTGGAAGGCCCATTGTGGGCAGAGTCCTGGCATGTACGGGCAAGAGCGAGTGGAGGGCAGCAGTGAGAGAGCTGAGGAGGAAGCCTGAACACACTCTACCTGGAGGGCCTCTAGGGGCAGAGGTGCTGGAAGGGTCAGGGTGCGGGTTAGGACTAGGAGTTGGCTGGTTGCCCCTCCAAGGTGACTGCCTTCTGTACCCTCAGGAGCACCCTTTCTTCACCTCGCACAAAACCAAGAAGACTGACATCGCTGCCTTCGTGAAGGAGATCCTGGGAGAGGACTCGTAGGGGCAGGGCTTGGACCTGCTCCAACCCTCTGTTGGGGCAGTGCTTGCCCACACCCATAAGCTACTGCCGCCCTGGCCTTGGGCACCCAAGAGGAATCCAGGGGGCTGCTCCTGCCTGACAGGCAAGGTCCCAAGTGCCAAAGAACCAGACCATCGGGGACCCCCAGTGCCTCTGCCCCTGCTGCTCCAAGGACCCCAAGACTCTGGACTTGGAGGGGCCTGATGCCCCTCACAGAGAAGGCAATGCTGCCTTGTGCAGGCCACTGCCTTGGCCCAGCCCTGGACGCCACCCAAGTTGTATATTTTTTTCTCTCTCGACTGAATGGACTTTGCACACTTGGCCTAGGCTGGCCACACCTCTGTCCCAGCATTGGTGGGGGGACCCAGCATGGGGATGAGCCACGTGAATTCCCTGGAGCCCCCACAAGGCAGGTGCCAGAGCCGCCGAGGCCTTCACCCCAGCACTGGCAGACGGGGCTCTAAGGGCACCGGGGTCACCTCGCCCTTGCCTGCCGCCTCTAGGGGTGTTGTTTCACCTTTATTTTTTTAATTTATCTTCCTGATTTTTTCTTTTGCTTTGTGGGTTTGGCTGGTTTTTCTTGCATGTTGGAGCCGATCATTTTTTTTGTCACCTGCTAGGGGACCAGCAGGCTAAGACCTGCCCTCTCTGCTCAGGCTGGGGTCTTGGGAGATGGGCCTAAGGTCTCTGCTCAGAGAGGTGCTAGGTGAGCCACTCAGCTCATTCTCCTTGGGGACCGGCTCGACAGGGGCTGTGGATTTGCTTTTGGTATTGTTTAAAAATATATATATATATATTTTTTTTTTTTGGAAGAAAGGACTGCCTGTCTAGGGTCCTGTCCCTGATGGGTTGGGGCAGTTGGCTGATTGCTGTTTTAATTAAAAAAAAAAAGTGGGGCAAAAGGTTGTGTGACTGTGTCAGAGCTGTGAGCCCCCCTGCTGCTCAGTGGTGGCTGGTGGCTCTGAGGGGCAGGGACAGGCGGCATGGTCAGGGGAGCCTCTGGCCTTCCAGGGCTGTGCACTTCCACATGCCAGGACACAAGGCTGCCTCAGGCCTGTGACGAGGCTCCAGGCCCTTGCTGGACACTGGACAGAGTGGAGACTTAGGCCTCGTCCCCTGGGGGCACTGACAAGTGCATTGTCAGGTGCTGCACCTGGGCTGGGCAGTCACCTCACTGAGGGTAATTTCATGGTCCCCAGCTCACAGATGAGTCCAGAGAGGTGAAGTAACTTGTCCAGAGCCATACAGCTTATGATTGGAGAACTAGGCTCTGGGACAGAGGCAGTGGGGCAGCTGGAGGACGGTACCCTTGGCAGGGCTCTGACTCTGTGATCCTTGAGGCCTGGGCTGAAACGCTGTTCCTTCAGACTGAAGTAGAAGGGAATTTATTTGCTCACATAAGCAGAAGTGTGCCTGGCCTCAGGCACCGTGGGATCCGGGAGCCAGGTTAACCTCCTGTGGAACTTAAATCACCTTACTTGTTTCCTCTGTCTCCGTTTTGTACTGCCACACGGGGCCATGTCAGGACTCAGTAGCTGCTACCAGCTTAGCAAAGTGGTCCAGAACTGCTGAAGCCCCAGGACTGGCTCTTCTCAGCTGGGAAGGGTCACAGGCTCATCTGCATGCTCATCTTGGGCATGGAGAGTTCTCTGGCCTGCACTCCAAGATCTGAAAGCAGGGCCTCGCTGGCCCTAGGGGAAATGGCATGTTCCCACAGGAAACACGGATCCTCCCGGGGTCCCTCTTTCCTCTGCCTCTGTCCACCAGTCCTCCCATCCTCAGTTCAGCCAGAGGCGGAGTGTGACTTTCATGCCCAAGGGGACAGCCTCTGCTGGTAGTTCTCCTGGATGCAGCATTTAACAGCCTCAAGGTCCATCTGGGCAGGGAGGCCGTTCTCACCTGAGGGGGGTCTTTGTGACTGTACCCTGTGCCTGGAACGCCCCTTCCCACCTTCTGCGGGTCCCTGCTTACCAGCTCCTGACTCCTCTGTTACTTCCCAGGGAGGCCAGCCTGCGCATGGCCCCATCGATGTCCTAATCTGGGCTAATTAGACCCGTCACTATCGTGTGCTCAGTGCCGGAAGCTGCGCGCGGGGAGCTCTCCACCTGTGATCAGTGGAGACACTGATGAATGAACACGTGAGAAAAGACTGAGGGCGTGGTCCTGCAGGTGCGCCCGTGGATACCTGCATAGACGGATCGGTCAGCGTGCGAATGTGGCTCTGTGCGCGCACCCCCCCGCAAGCGCGCGCGCACGCACGCACGCACGCGTGTCCTCCGCGCGCGCGCGCAGGTCCAGCCGACCCGAGCCCCGGGCACAGCCCGGGGTGCTCCTCCCTCCGCAGCCACCAGGCGGCGCGGCACAGCCCCGGCTTCTACCCCTCGGCCCCGGAGCGCGCCGAAGCGCCCGTTCTCTACGCGGAGGCCGGGAGGGGTGCCCCCTGTTCTGGGTTCACAGCGCTCTTGTTCAGTCGCTCAGTCATGTCCGACCTTTGGCGACCCCATGGACTGCAGAGCGCCAGGCTCCCCTGTCCTCCACTGCGCTCTACAGCTGGTAAATCATCTGCAATGTCCAAAGGACTTTGCCGTTTACAGAGCCCAGAGTTGTTCACAAAACAGCTTACAAAGTAATAATTGACCGATAACAAGGTCCTCTGCAGGGTTGCAAAGCGCTTTTTACCCAGCAAGTGGTTCACAGTTTCCCAAGCAAAGTTCCTAGATTCCTCTTCACATTGGTGTGAACATGGTTGTTTACAGGTTCGGGTACTATGGAGGGGATCCTGCAGTCTTCACAAAGGGCGTCCAGGTATCCACCTGGGAGAAGCCTGCGGGCAGGTCACTGACATTCACAAAGCACATGGCGGTTTATTCAGCCATGAGCACCCCAGGTGGAGGCTCCCGCCACTATCCATGAGGGTGGGGGTCATGGGCATAGGGACCAGACGGGATGAGCAAGCCTTCCCAGACCTGGGATGAATGAGGCTCTCTGGATTGACAGACAGACGGTGGAGCCACACGAACTGTCTGCTTCAGGTGCAGCAGTGAGAGCCTCCTCACGGGGCAGCATGGAAAGCCAGCATCCGGGCCTGGCTGGGAGCAAGAGGTGGCCCCCGCGGGAGGATTTGGTGACATACTTTCTGGAGGCGAGGGAAGGCAGCTTCGCTCCTTAGACATCAGCTTGGCCTCTTCTCAGAGCCCTGCTGTGGCTCCCACCTCCTCCAGTCCGTGCCTCCCGGTGGCCCACGCCAGCCAGCCCCCACACCCCGTACTTCTTGCTCCCTGTGCTTCAGCCACGCAGTGCTCAGACCTGCCTTTGTACTTGCTGTTCTCTGTGCCCGAACGTGTCACTCTGCCCCGTCAGTCCTCCTGGCTGGCCTAGGATGTCTCTGCTCACCCCAGAGATGCCATCCGCTCAGAGCTGGCTCCCTGACCACCTTGTCGCTGCGTCCCCTTGGCCTGCTGTGTTTTCTTCACACGCTTGCCTGCTGAGCAGCTCTCCAACTACTCTGGAAGTTGTCTTGCCAGCTGGGTCTGTCTTGCTCAGAACCTGGCACGGAAGAAGGCCAGGCAATGACAGAGGGAAGAGGCAGGTGCAGGGAAGCTGCCCTCTGGTGCCAGAACGATGCTAGCACCAATGCAGTGGGGCCCAGAGAGCCAGGCTCTGTTAGGTCTGTGCCATGACTCGGGGGTGGGCTGGAGACTACCCTTCTATTTCTTTGGGGCTGTGGGTCCCGGGAGGGCTCTTAGAACCAAGGCCGCCCCTGGTTGTACTGACTGGGGACTCAGAGAAGGGAAGCGATGGGCTCACAGTCACACAGGGAGCAACACCAGAGCTGGGATCTTGGTCAGGTCTGGGGACAGGGCTGCCTGCATCACTGCAGTTGTCAGCACAGTGGTCCCGGGGCAGTGAGTAAGGTTTATCCTTCTCCCACCCCCTCCAGTTTTTAAGCCTGTCAGGATGGCTCTGGCTCAGGAAAAAGGGAGGGGGCGAGCATGTGGCTCCTGCCATCAGCCCTGCATTCGCTGTGTCCTTGAGTGCTTTGTGGGTAAGGGCAGTGGATGAGAAAGCTGGGCCGGGGTCATCTCCTCTCCCAGCAGGGACTTAAAAGCATCTGGCCAAACCTCTGTCCAGTGCGGGGATCCCTCCCTAGTCACACCCTCGCCAGGGGCTGAGACCTCTGCTTGCACACCTCCCCTGATGGGGAGTTCGGTCTCATTCAGACGTGCTTCTTGGAGGGATCTCAGATTCTTCTTGTCCTGGTGCCACTCCCTGAGGCTTGTGATGCCAGACTCTCATGTGTAGACTCTGGCACACTCTAAATGTTCATTTCTTTGCCTCTTGTGAAAGCCGTTTTGAATACTTTTGGAAACCAGGTGGGAGGGTCTATATATACATCAGCTGTGCTATGTTTATCACAGCTCGTTTATCCTCAGGTCCAGGGCAGTCAGGTTCTCCTGGAGATCACAAAGCCTCAGCAAGGGTCCAGGCTTGCCTGAGGCCCTTCAGTGAGCTCAGTAACCCAGGAGTCCTGTCCACCCCCTAGTCTGAGCGAGCCACCTGCCAAGCTGGGTTTAGCTGTATTCACCCCCTCCAGCCTTGCAGAAGTTGTGGGCTGCTCTGTTTCTGTCCTGGACTGGCTTAGTGGCAGGACTTGGATGGGGAGATTCTTGGGAGGCAGGAGCAGCTGCCATATCTGGCTGGGGATGTTCCAGCCCAAGTTCTTCTTTTCCTGGCTCCCAAACCCTCTATGGCTCCCTGTTGCCCATAGGATTCAGGGAAAGGAGGCCCAGCACCATGTTTCTACAGCAGAGCCTTGTCTGGATTATTCTCTGCAGGGTTTGGCACACGTTAGGTATCACCTGAGCACCTACTGTATGCCAGCAACATTCTAGGACTGGAGCTATAGGTGGACCTAGACAGACCTGGCTCGCCCTCCTTGAGGTCAGAGGGCATCAGACGGAGCATAAGCAAGCTTATAAAAG